TGTGGAGTTCCTGTCCCATTTGGTTCCCTCAGTCCTTTTGCCAACTCTTCCACAAGACTTCTGGAGCTCCATCTAATGTTTGGCTGTGGGTCTCTGAATTTGTTTCCATTGGTTACTGGTTGGATCTTCTCAGAGAATAGTTATGCTAGGCCTCTGTCTGCAAGTATAATAGAATATCATTAATAGTGTCAGGGATTGGTTCTTGCCTATGGGATGGGTCTCAAGTTGGGCCAGTCATTGGTTGGCCATTTCTTCTGTCTTGGCTCCATCTTTGTCCCTGCACATTCAATATTGTATTTTCAACAAAATTTCTCATTTGTTTGGCTTCTAGGGACATAAATATAGTTGGTAGCACTGAAAGCACTGTTCCTGAGTCCAGAATGGGATCTGATTACTTTCCAGTATTTATCTACATGGCTGACACTGCAAGATACCATGTTAGTCCTTTCAGGAAAGGAATTTGCTATTTCAATTTTGATGACATTGCATACAGTTCAGGCTTTTTTTTGTGAACTGTCTCACCACGTCTTCCTGTAGCCATCTCTTGTGACTGATGAGTGTGCAGCTTTAAATCTGGTCATTTGTGGCCAATAAAAGACATTCTAAAGGATGACTTATGCTCTGGAATTCTGTATGGGGTTACCTGAGTCTTGCGTAGTGATTCTTGTTGATCTGTTCCACTGGTTTCCTTTATCCCTTCATTACTACAAATGATGGCCTGCAGTTTCTCCTCACATGGAACTCCATCTCTGAGTTTCCTTTGCTCAGTACTCAACAAAGCAGTCTTCAGCTTTTCTCAAGAAGATGCAAGGGGTCTCTTATGTATCAATTTCTTTATATGGTTTGTACTACATTTGCCCAGCAACTCAGAAGATTCATTATTACTCTTTTAAATGACACATCTTCTGGCCATGACAACCATACTATCCATTAAGTAATCATTTGTAATTTTTTGTTGTTTTTAAGACAAATGACAAGGCTTCTCTAGGTAGTCCTGGCTGTCCTGAGCTTGCTATGTAGATCAGGCTGGCCTCAGACTTATAGAGATCTACGTGCCTCTGCCTCCCAAATTCTGGGGATTAAAGGCATGTACTACACCATGCCTGGCCCCGTAATTTAAAATAAATTCATAGAAGATATTAATTAAGTGTACATTGTGGTCAGAATCTCAAAGTGAAACCGTTAACAGAACTTAACAAATACAAGTTTGAAAGCATTTATATTGATTTCACAAAATTGTCTGCAGTGGGCAGCAGAGAGCAATATTAATATAAGTTAGGCACATGGCTGGTTTGTTAAAGAACCATACATAAAACAACAACAAAGACAATAACACAACTCAGTGAAACAGTAAGTGTGTGAAACTGAAAGGGAAATATAAATGGTAGATGACTACTCAGTGCAAGATGTATTGAAGACAAGACAGAGCCTTAGGGAGGGGAAAGAAAAGGATAGTCTAACTGGCCAAGGTCTAACTATGAAGTAAAGTTTCTTGGTCTCATTCTTGCTTCTGTCATGCGTCACATGTGTATCTTTGAAAATTTTAACAAGTATTTTTTTTTTGACTAAGAAAGGGAAAATGTAAAATGGGAATAATAAAGATATTATTCTACACAGGGCTATGGAGAGAATTAAATAGGGAATACCTAGGAAGTGTTTAGTACTCCACTTTGGTTGTTAAGCATAGGGGCTTAGCAAGTGTTATTTACCATGAATGTGACCAGTAAGATCTAGAGCTGATTCTTAGCAACAAACAAAGCATCACTAAAGTTTCTTTATATGTGCAAAGTATGATACCACACTAACTAGGGCACATGCTGCTTATTTGATATTATTCATACTTTGTTTTGATACATTATGTCTATTTTTTGCATAATTTGTAAAATTATAACAGAATGGTTAGCTCTTATATGATATACACATAAATATATCATACATATACATATATATGTATATGTATGTATATATATACACACACACAAATAATATATACAAATGTATGAATATAAAATGAAGATAATTTGATGCTGGTGACAGTGTCAGTAGAAGTGAAAAATTTCAAGATAAATATCGGCATAATGATAGGATGTGAAGGTAGACACATATAGTACATCAGCTGCATTCTTCTAAGCTAAGGACTGAACATGCTGGGCAGACACTTGACACTGAACTGCATCCTGGGCCCTTCGAGACTGAGGAATACCCCTGAGCAGAAGATGTTTGATCGAATAGTGTTTGAAGACAGATACATTTTTTTTTTTTTGAGCAAACAAAAGGTACAAGTTTGTGGTTGCCATGGCTTAAAGGGGCTCTAACTAACCTGCTAAGCCTTTAGCTTTTGGCTGCCACACCACTGATGTCGATCTATGCTACTCCATTCTGTTTTGTGTTTTCAAATTTACATCACACCATTTTGTTTTTTTTCTTTCTTCCACAAATTTCCCTATTCTTAATAAATAACAGTGAAAGAGAGTTGGAGGGTTTGTGTTTCTTCTTGAGCAATTTATTTCTCTTGATCTTTCTGTATTCTTTTGTCCTGTTTTCTGGGATCGGGTGCCAAAAAGTACACTCAGGAACAAACTAGGGCCTTGAGATTTTACAAGATGCACACATACCTTTCGTATAATGGTAATGTTCCATGTTCTCCTTAAAAGGAGAAGGTGGGGCTTGGGAAAGTTGGGATGTGGGACTTGAGGGCAGAAGATGTGAAGGAGAGAAAGAGTAGACTCTTTGCAAACCTACTTTGTGAGTTCCGTGGTGTGGAAGTTACTGAGTCAACTTTTACATAGCTGGTTAAAGACTGTGTTGTTCTCAGATGAGCACACAAGGAGAATGTCTGTGAAAATCACTGCCTGAAATCTAAGTCTGGTGGGATGGGGCTGTGGGGGCAGGAGCTGAGCCTGAAGAACTCAGCTGGGCCACTGGCAAACATGAAATCTTTTGCTTTGCTCAGTCATTAGGTCTCCTAGACACTTTAGAAGGTCTCTGGAGCTTAGTTTTGATTTTATCAAGCAAGCATTAAAACAAATGAAAGTAACTTAAAACAACTAAAAGTAATTTAAAAATTTTGAAGGCTGTGAATGTGGCTCAGTTTATAATGTGCTTGCCTAGCATGCGGGAATCCATGGGTTCATCCCCAGTACCACATAAACCAGCTGTGGTAGCATATGCCATAGGATAATCTAAGTATCGGGGAGGTGAAGACAGGAGAATCAGTTCCCAGTTATCCGTGGATACACAGAAAGTTTGAGTCCATCCCATCTCAAAAATAAATAATGAAGAGAATAAAAAAAAGAACAAAATTAAAGAATTTATTTTCTCTCTCTCCTCTCTCTCTGCTCTCTCTCTCCCTCTGTGTGTGTGTGTGTGTGAGTGTGTGTGTACGTACATGCCATTATACATATGTGACAGTTGGCTATGTTATCTTACGCTACTTTGATGTAGTTGCTGCGAATTGTAATCAGGTCTTCATGCATGTGTGGCAAACACCTTTACCTACTAAGCCATTCTGCTCCCCTGATCATCAAGAATTTTTGATGACGTAGACAAAAGCTCATGTCGTTATAATATCAAATAGAAAAAAAACAATACAGGCACAAATAAGAAAATTAGCTGGTTTCATGGAGATTGCTCGGCAGAGAAGTAAGCACTGCTCAGGCTGTCGTCAGAGCCTACAGTGTCAACAGCTTCTTGTGACGGAAAAACAGTGTTTCAATTTAAACGACATTTCTTCACTTTTATTTTTTTTTAAAGGCATCTGGTGAATCATCAAATGGAAGAGAGGATTTCTACTGGTCACTCTTTGTCATAGCTCAGGTCTTCAAGCCTTTCTCACTCTTAAGGATCTTATCTCATTATCCGAATCACATTCACTCACTGAAGCTTGAGAGGTGGAGGAGGGTAATATATATAGAGAGGTTAGTGTTTGGCAAGAGGAAAGATGGCATTGCTAACTTTGAAAGAAAATGCACGCTGTTTTTTTCTTTTTTCCTGTTGGCAATATTTTCTTCCCCTTCCTAGAGCATTTTGCTCTGGGGTAGGAAATTCTTACCACAGAGGTTGTTTTTTTTGTTTTGTTTTTGTCTCTCTCTTTTTTTTTCTGTCTTTCTTCCTCTCAACTGTAATCTAAGTGTATATTAACTAGTAACATTACACAGAATTTTTCTGGAAAGTTAGACTCTCAGATGTGTGACAGCTCAAAGGTGGTTATCTGTGATTACAACAACCTAACTCTTCGAAAGTCAAAGAGAATGGAAAGTCAGTACTGAGCCTCCCACAGAGGTCTGTGACTGTACGTTCACTGATGTGGCAAAAGGAACTCTGTGAATGTAATTAAATTAAGGATCTTCAGATGGACAGACAATGCTGATCACTTTCGAAGGACAAATTAATCACAAATGCAGGAGAGTCAGCATTAGGCGATCAGGTATGTCAGTGGAGCAAAGGCCAGAATGATGTCCACAGGCCAGAGAGCAGAGACATCTCAATGCTGCAAAAGGTTGTGTCTCCAGAAGAAGCAAAGCCCTGGCGATGTCTTGATTTTAACCCCATACAACGCCACTCAGACTTTCGATACTCAGACAAAAGTCTGGGAGTATTTGTATTGTGTTAAGCCACTCATTCTGGGATTGTTGGGATAATAACAGAGAAAGTGGTACCCATTTGATGCTTCCAGCATTATGTATGGGCTTCCAGACTAGACAGTAATTTCAACAGAGTATTTTCAAGTAGAAATATTTATTCTATATTTAAAGAATGAGGAAGGCTGTTTACACTTTTTTTAAAAAAAAAAATTGGAGAACTTTCCAGAAGTTCATTGTGGTTAGGCAATTTACAAGTATGGACCAAAAATCGATCAGTGACCCTCTTCAGTTTTGAATGGAGGTCTAGACATATCCATCTGTCTTGGGCATGTTCAGAGCCTTACTGTACAGTTTATCTGCGAGCAGCAGGAGAAGAGAAAGAACCAATGGGCTGAAAGTAACCCACTCAGTCAGCTTCCTCTGTCTTTGCTTCAGGGCTTTGCACAGGAAATCTATTGCTGTGTCAAGTCCCAGAAGTTTCTTCTCTTCCAAGTTACTAGTGAGACTAAAGCATGCCGAGTGGAAGGAGAGGACAGAGAGGACAGGACTGCTCCCTGCTGATGGGTTAAGAGGTGCGCTACTACGCAGAAGCCAACCGGAGAGCAGAGGGATCCTGGTCATGGTCACTGCTGCTCTCCTACCTGTGAGGAGTAAAAGTACTGAGTGAGCGGCGGAAAACCAGAAAACCGAAATGTTCTGCTTTTGGAGAACTTCTGACCTAGCAGTGCTCTTGATATGGGGGGTCTTTGCGGCTGGTGAGTCTGAACTTTCTTTGGGAGAATGACTAAGGGAGGAGAGACCTGTTCTGCAGCGTTTAAGCCTCGTCCCCTTTCGCTGGGCAATGTAAGCCAATTTCTGTTGTAACTGAGATGAGGGTTCCTCCAGATATGGGTTATCTCGTCACCCATATTTTCTGCTTTGTCTGATTTATTTTTGCTTCGTGTTCTATAAATTCCTCCACTGCCGCTCCGTCATCTCCCCTCCCCCTTTAGGACAACGCAGAATAAATTAAACACATATTCATAGCAATGGAAATTACATGGGTTCTCTGTATCTTCTTGGAAAAAAAACAACCAACTATCATCTCTGGTATCCCATCTAGGTCTCCTTTGCTAATTTGGGAATGTGTCATTTTATTTTTTTTCTGTTGCTTTCTGTGACTGCGGGTTTTATGCATACAGTTACTCTGGTGTATCTGTGATGTATGTTTGCCTTTATCTTGAAGGTATGTGGGCTACAGGAGACACTTTCTGAATCAGGAGGTGCACTCCTCAATGTCTGCAGTTTGGTAGGAGTTCAATAGAATTTGGGGCTACTGTGGGGGTGTCCTGATTTCACTGTAGAAGGTCGGTGGGAGTTGGTGTAGGAGGCTTTTTCGTGTTTCGCTTTTAGTAACTGCAGCAGCTGCAAAGGAACAACACGCTTAGCTCTAAAATGGATAGTTTAACAATGTAAAGGAGACACGGTACTTCTTTCCTTTCATCAGAATTCCTTTACCATCACATTTTTGTCTATTTTCCAGAAAAAGAATATCATATGATAATCTTACTGGTGAGCATACATAAGCTAACTATGATCTACCACCACACCCTTCTGCTGAGAGTTTCCAGTCATCTGTTCTCTTTGATGTGCATAGCAAGCCATTGAGGTAGGGATGGAAGAAAGCTCTGTTTTACAGAGATAGAACCTGAAGCTTAGGGAGCCAACATGGTTTGTCCACAGGAATGAAGGACTAGCAGCATACTTATTTCCATAAGCGCCACAACACATTCGAGTGAGCAGTTTACCTGTATTGTTTTCACTAAGGAGAACCATGATTGCTGCACAACTGAAAGTGCTAAGCTAATATTTGGTTATAATTTGAATGGGGGGGGGGAGAAAGAGTGTCTGGAGTCTTTCAGTAGTTGGGTTTCTCTAGAAAGCGCTCTAAGTCTGTGCAGGATCAGTTTGACAAGGAAAGCCAGACAGGCTGTGTCAGGTTGATGTTAACTTGGTGGACCAGACAGAAAAGCAACAAAATGGAAACATAACAGAATTTGAATTTTGAAGGCTGAAAGGTTCATTTTTTTTAAGCTGTGTCAGAACATAAGTTGGAGACACTACGTTCACCAAGTCTCTGAAATCCAAGCTTGCATCAGAAAATCATCAAGCATTTGGAATGCAAATCAGTAAATTACTTTATACACATGCTTTGGTATGAATAGTTTACCAAGAAATGACTTAGAATGGTGAGCTGAAAGCCAGGCCTGTGACTTTATGGCTTTGCTCATTGCTGCTGCCACAGGAGTAGCTCACTCTTTATTAAGATCCATTCACACAGGAGAGAGCATAGGGCATCAAGGTGAATGTTAGGATGCTCTTGTTTTGCCTACTTACTTTTAAATTTTATTTTAAACTTCAAGCCATGTGGTATTTATTTGATAAAGTACTTGAGGGGAAGTTAACAAGGATCTAAGCTCCTCATCTCATGCGTCCTCCACTTTCACAGACTGTGGCATTTCTTTCTCCTTATTTTGTCCCATTGTCATCTAAATTCTTACATTTAAATAATTTCATGTCCTGACTGAGATTATCCCACCTTCTTTTGAAGTTGCTGATTTTGCCAATATGAGTTGCTAAAAAGAAAAAGGAGCCAACCCTCAACTGTTTTCTTCCCTTTCAGAATTTTTACTCATTTTCTTTGTCTTCCACTAGAGGGCAGGTACCAACAGGAGGAGACACACTGAGCCCTATAGAGACTAAAGGCAACATCAGAAAAGCAAAGAACAGGCCTCTCTTACTTAGTCCTCTCCTCCTTTTTAAAGTTTGTGCTAGCTGTAAATTTGACAATTAACCTAACAAGTAGGTGTGTTTTCCTTTGGGCGTTAGTGCTCAAGATTCTGGTGAAAAGGAATACTAAGAGGTGTGTGTGTGTGTGTGTGTGTGTGTGTGTGTGTGTATGTGTCTCATGTGCAAGAATGCTGAGTGAAAGTTTCCAGCAATCTAAATGAGGGAGTTGAAAATAAAATGAAATCCCTAAGGAATATTGAAAGTCAGAAAAGAAGTAAAAAACTGTGAAGAATAGTAAAACCATGGTGTGTTGACAGTGTTATGGAAGAGTGGACCTGGACTGACAGGTTTGAGCAGATAGATAAAGAAGATAGATAGGCAAGGCAACTGGGAGGCAGGGTATGTAACAGAACAGAGACAGGAAGGTTCTGTGAGATAATGAGATCTAGCTTGCAGGAACAGTGTGTTGTATAATGAAAGAATAAGGCTGCTCTCCGAGGATCTTTAACAGAGAGAATCTGAATACTGTGCAGTTGATGGTGAGCTCTTCTGTTAGCTTGTAAAGAGAAGCGATAATCTCAGGCAGTAGTTTTGGAGAGTGTGGCAGCAGGATCCTGTTCATTGGCAATGACATTTCATAAAGGGTTTCCTTTGAAGCCTGAATCAGGAGTGTCGTCACAGAGGTTCCTACAAAAGAAGGTTCTGTGCCATGGCATTGGTGGCTGAGAAGGGAACTGTAGAGGAAGGGCATGAAGGATGGGCATGCCTATCCACACTGGGAGAATAGAAAAATCCAGCGTTTGTGAATCATTATGGAGCAGATGTTACCTCAAAGCCAATACAGACAGGCAAATGAGAGATGAAGCACCAGAAATGTTTATATTCATGTCTGGGGAGTCATAACTATCTGTGTGTAACAGAGAGCAAGCTCTAAGAAGAGATGGGAAAGGAGACATGTCACCTACAAACTGTATGCTTAGCCTTAACTAGGAGGGAAGAAATGCTCTGAGCTTGAGAAATTAGTTGATACAGATGCTAGGTACAGGGAGACCAGCTCGAGATGGCTAGAACAAGGTGGGGTCGATGAAGGTTCTCACTGTGATAAACTATTTCTCAATATGACCAGGTGAATCTCAGTTGAAGACACTACCCAATAAACCCATTCAGCAGTCGTTTGGCTTCATATTGTGTCTGAAGAATTAATCTACGTAGTCATTGAAATGTTATCAGTGACAATGAGCTTTTGCGTCCTCTCCCTTGATGTTGCTGACTCCCATTTGCTAGCTCCTGACTGGGTCTAGAGAGCAGGACAGAGGGTGTTATGTAGCTTTGGACAGAGGGATGCTAATACTCCCTAAGAAGCAATCACCATCCATCACGTTAAGAAATGATAAACATCACAAATAGATGAAATTTTTATGAGAGTTGACTATAATCTACTCATTTCATTCTCCCTCAAGAACTGATATTATTCATGCATTAACACTAAGCAAAGATTTCAAGGTTTTCATACATAGAATTTAGATGCCTTGCATGTCTGAAAATCTAGGCTCTGTTCATTCTGAGAACACAATCTTATTTGTGTTTAAGGGAAGTGCCCTAGAGAGGTGCCAGCATGGAGGCACAATTAGTTCTTCCATTTAGAAAGAAGGAATTTTCTTTAAGCATCTCCACTGCTCTGAACCATTGATGTGGGGTGGGTTTTCCTGGAGTCAGACTTAGATGCGGTTTTGTGTACAGACATTCCTGCATCTCAGTCACCACTCTCATTGGGCACAGTGGGGATGAGCTAGCTGGGTTTTTGAGAGCTTCCACACTGATTAGAACACTGATCGTTTATACTTCTACTTTATTCAGTTGTTAGGTGGGATGTCCTCAGATGGGATTGATTTTGAGCAAAGGAACCAAGCCATCCTTTGAAGTGTCTGAAAACTGAAGGCTGTCTACTTACTGCTCTCAGTCATAGGAGCAAAGGCTATCCCTGAAGGAGATTCTGGGTGGCACATTCTAGATATGTACTATAGTTGCAGCCTCCTATGTTCTTCATTCCTTCATGAAATTCTGAGCCTCTATCTGGTATTATTCTTCAAATCAACTTTATAGCTTTAATTTTTATTTTACTTTTGGCTGTTAAGTTCTCTCAGTTTTCTTTTATATGAAGTTAACTATTTTATGTCTGAAATATTTATTTTACTTTCGTTATCAAAGCATATATTTGCTGGAGAGGTGTAGAATTATGGGTTGAGATTGATCTCTCCACCCTTTTAGCACCTACAAACCTCTAATGGGGAGTCAGCCTGACTCTCATATCATTTCTCTGAATTTAATCTCTGATCTTCTAGGGCTGTTTTCAACATTTTGTCCTTATTGCTGGGGTATTGCCACACCTAATCTGTCTAACTATGGTATTTTCACCTATGAGAAATTGCTTAACTTCTTTAGACACAATCTCCTCACTTATGAAACAAATAGATATGACAATATTAGGAGATTCGGAATTATTAGACTCAAGGCACCTCTATGTTAAATTCTCCCATCTTGTATGTGGGCCAATAAAGACTAGCCATGCTCAAGGAACTTCTGATAATGTCCCCTCACCTTTCAGTGGATGAATCGGGTTGGAACAGCTCTGCAGGACCAACAGTAGAAGGGAAAGAGCTGAGGCAAGAGTCTCTGTGTGTATGGGAACCCTGGTTTTAGATGCGATGCACTGGAAATGAGAGTCACATTTAAGAGAGAAACAAGAGCAGTTAGAGACTTGAGATTCCTGTTAAGGAAAAATAAGTCACAGGCAAAATGAGGCTTGATCATTTGGTCAGCCAGTAAGCAAGGGAATGTTTCGCCATGAGTCAGTACTGTGCTTTGTACTGGTGATACTTGATGAAGAAAGATGTGGCAGGGTGAGGATGTATTTCAGTGGCAGAGCATTGGTCTACCGTGTACAAAGGTTTAAATTAAACCCCAGAACTTCAAAAAGACAGCCATA